CTGCGCCACAATTGATGGCGTCGAATTGGTCTTCGCAAGACGCTTTCATCCATTTCTCGCATCGTTTGACCTAAAACCACCACGTCAAAGACGTCGAGGTTGAGGTTTCTAGTTTGAAGGCAATCACTCACTGTTGATTTCATGGAAACACAGGTGCCCACGTCCACAAAAGGAGCAACAGATGCAGGAGAGCATTGCATATCGTAGTAAGACAAGATCATCTTGAAGCTGTCAGTCATCCCGTTGCCTGTAGAATGTCCACCCCAGATAATCAGCATTATGCTGTATGATACCCTATGAAACGATTTAACAGACCAATCATAACCGATTGAAGGTTGACTGGAGTCATTCCGGCTGCGACTAGTCTTGCATTTTGGTCGTACACGGCCGATGCAAACAGAGGTAGGTATCGTCCCTGATTTGAAGTAAGCCAAGTCAAGTTCCAAAGTCGTATGCAAGTCGACTAAACTCACTCCGTATGATTCTCCGGCCATATGGAATGCTCGCCCTTTGAATTGACTGAAGTTCTCGAAGAAGATGGAGATAAAAGCAGCGATATCTTTAGCTGCGTCTTCCGATGTGCCCTACCGACAAAAGCATCACTGTTTCCGTCTCAAAGCAAGAGGGGCAAGAGAGTAAAGATTACCACGAATTCGCCATGATCGGCATACGAGAAACCAACGCCAACAGGTTGGTCGACAAAGAAAATATTGGCGTTCGTGTTCCATGATTCAGGGTGGAAGGTCGTCCCATTCGCGTCCAGAACGCGACATGGACCTTCAGGATGACCAGTTCAGCTCGTCGATTCATATAGACCCAAACTACCAAAGCGGCATCTCTGTGAGTCTGACATACCAAGTTCCATGAAAAGACCGAGAGCAGACGAACATCCTGGACCTCCGTTCGTCCAGAATATCACATCATCTTTGGCCGGATCGTTCCTGCTTTCGAAGAAATAGAAAAACAGATGACGCGCTTCAACGTCGATATACCCAGTGTATGCTCTAAAACAATATTTTCAGTTTCTTTCGTCCTTTAGCAAGGTTATTTCGACGATAAATTGACATACTGTACGGTATCATCACAAAACTGGCTCTTCTTCACCCGTACACCGTAATGGGGAAAGAAAGGATGTACAAGTGTCGTGAACTCTGAGTGGGAAAGTTTCGAAAAGGATTCGAAGGGTGTGAAAAGGCCATCGTCGTAAGAATCTCCATTGCCGTGTCCCAGAGGAATTTGCGATGGAGGATATTGGGAAAGACTGGAGACAAAGGGTAGAGCCAGCAATACCGCAGCGCACGTTGCAAGACGAAGTGCCATGGTAATGGGGTACGCAGCCTGGTGGGGGGATGAATCTGAACTTTTAAGCTTGATAATCTATGGCAATACATATCTCCCAGAGCCTGACAGAGAAGGTGATGCCATGTGCCTTAAGTTAAGTTAAGTATCATGTTCTCAGGATAACATGTGGACATTTGTTGAAAATGCTATGCCATGCATGATCTTGCGACCGGACTGCTTTGGAAGGAGAACTCTGACCAAATTACCATGATTAATGTTTAGATACATACAAATACAGTGCATGAAGCGCAAGGTGATACAGTCGAGGGAAATGTGGGTATTATGCATACTGTAGGGGGAAAATATCATGAGCTGCAATAAGGGGGATGCACTGATAAAAACGCACCCTCGTGAATGTCCCCATCGTCATAAAGGTCTCTTTCCTCTTCGTACCATCTCCATACAAGCTCTTCACGGCATCACTCATGCCTGCCTTCCGCTTCGCCTCCTCCATCGCCAAACCACTCACCACCGCACGGCTAGCAGCTGCAATCGACGGGTTGAGGCTAGGGACAGCTACAGGTGCGGCCTGTTTCTTTGTAGGTGGTTCTTCGCCGTCCTCCGGAGACTGATTCTTCCTCTTCTTCGACTTTTTCTTGGCTGGTTCGAGAAGTCTCTTGCGGTCAAGAGCGAAGCGCAATGTCTCTTCCTCTTCCGGTGGGGAGTTGATAACGATAACATCTTCGCTAGCAGAGTATTTCTTGGCGCATTGAGGGCAGAGACTGAGTGACTTCCCGCCTTCATCACTGTCAGAGGCTTTCTCCTTTGGCGAAGAGGACGATGCAACGGTTTTGAGTCCAGCTTGCGAGAAAACGCAGCCACACGTGGAAATGTAGACGAAAGGCTGCACCCCGTTCATTTCTTTCATCGTGAGAGGGCAGGCGAACTGGGGTCGGTCGGTGGAGTCTGCCTTTGAATCTGTCGACGAAGAGGCATTGTTTGGAGTGAGGGTCAACGTTTTCACGTCCTGTCCGGGGAAACAAGTTCAGTCAAGAGATTGCACCAGAAAATGGAAGGGTACACACTTTGAGTGATCGTATATGCCCACAAATCTTCTCTCCGTCTCCATACGCCGACTTGTCCAGCAAGTACTCTATTATTGCGTCCTTGTTATACAATTTGCCAAGCGCGCACGACACCACTGGTTCCTGCAACCGTTTCTGATAAAGAAAGATCAATGATTGCCGTTGCAGATAGTGCCTGACTGTACTCACCTTCGATAAAGCACAGAACAACCACCTCGCTCGAGTTTGGTTGGCCTTGTCGGCTTGTTCAGCCTGATGCGGCTATTTGAGAGGTTATCCAGCAATCATTCCGATAGATACATACCTTAGGCTTGTTTCTAACCAAGTCTCTGCGGTCTGGGATACTTCCTCCATCATTACCCATGGTGAATAGAAGAAAATGTGAAGGAAATGTAGTAAATGAAGATGGTGGTCGCTGACAGAGTCAAGACGGAGCCCTTGGAAGTCGTGGGAACGGCTTCGACATTTGTGGCATTAATTATAAACTCCGACACTTGCCCCGCAATTCCATGTTTTCCTGAACTTCACCGCAGCGCAATGCTGCAGGAATTATCGCATATGGACAGGATAACTCAGCTCCAAGATGAAATCCAACAAGTAAGCACTAGGATGTATGTTAAGCGTACTGGAGGACGACGATAACCTGGGGGCTGCAGCTTCTCATGATCATGTCAAATACTATTGCGTATCTCACTTCGCGCGCCAACTTTCTGCAAGTCAGCCCAGACGTGCCTGTCACTAAGCAGAGGAACCCGGACAAGTTTGACCCTGCAGAGGTGTTCGAAGGTGCGGCTGTTATTCTTCGATCTTCTTGGACTGTGTCTTCAACACTCCTTCCCCAGCAAACCAGAAGGAACTCGTGACGGATCTCATAGTCAAAGCGAAACAGATAGAGTATTTGATAAACTCTCTACCGGAACCAGAGCCTGAGGAGGAGCAGGTGATCTCTTTCATCTTTCCGTGAGTGACGGCCATTAACCCTTGACGCGTGCAGGCCAAACGACTCCAGGTCTTGGAAGATGAGATGACTATTGCGAATGCAGAATATGTTCGGGCTGTCGATCGTGCCAGTAAGTTCATTAGGATCATGTGGAAGCATTCTGCTGACGAACTTTCTTGTACATAGAAGATCTTCATGCCCAGATATCTGACGTCTTGCGCATGATGCTTGTTGAAACTGACGGAGACCTCCCTGAAACCAGTCCTGGTTGATACCCTTGGTCAATACCCTTGACCACACGCCAGTAAATCCCAGCAACACGCAACCAATACTTCTTTGAGGATCTATCATCTGATGATCAACCTTGCCAGACCTCAACGGTGTGAAGCTGCCAAAACTATCACACCGTAATCTCGCGAAGTACTCGGCGTCGCCAATATCATAGCTAGCACCCTATCGCTCTCGCCTTGCGTATCTAGCGTGTGTAGCGTCCTATTCGCCGTCCGCAATGTTATTCTTTCTTGCAGTCAAGAACATACACATTCTGTTTTCATGTCATACGGTCCAAACCACTGAGTCAAACTGAATGGACTCAGACTGCGCTCTCTGACAACTGTTTTCTTCGGTTTCTGTCCTACAGCTCTCAGTCTGCGCCAGGGTCGTAGTCGTCACATCTGGACAGGGACCCCTAATAAGTCGCTCCTCTGAGAGATAAAAAAATGCTTCGACACTCGGACCCATGCAGGAGGACCCAATTTAAAATCCGATTCCGTCTTGGACTTGTTTTTATTGATATCGCCCTCAGTTCCTCGATCTAGCTTTCAACTAGGGCGGACGTGTATAAAATATAAATACCTACTAGTCTTTCTGGCCTGGCTTTCATCACATCTTCTCTTCGCTTCGCTCACAACTATACACGCTCCTTTCAAATTGTTATACACAATGTCTGTTCATCCATACACAGCTTTTGATTCAACTAGCCGCTTACTGCTCTCGTTGACTTTGACCAATCCAGGTTCTTCCATAAGCTGATCTTTGCGGCAGCCGCCCTGCTTGTCAGCCTCTCCAGCGTCAATGCATGCACAGACAATTCGAGCTGCGGTAGCGGACAGGTCTGCTGCACTACCGCTGTACGTAGTATTCCGTTTCCCTTCAGCACTTCGCATGCTACCTTGACTTATTGTTTCTGATCATTACATCGACCCCAGGCAGGCGAAGGCGGCACTAGCACGATAGGGACCTGCATTCCCGAGAGCAACTGTTCAACTGATGTGCGTAAATGTTTCTCGCATAATTGTGCGTATCATTTGGCTTATTTGCGCATGGTGTATGGTAGGGTGTCGGTCTCTTCGATGACGGGATATGCGGTTGTAGGGTTTGAGAGAGTAGTGGGGAGGGCTGAAAAACTGCCGACTATACTCGTACCAATACAGTGATGCTCGCGTACCTTTGTGACTTATCTGCAAGCCTTTTCACGTTCGGAGATGACATATTGTGTACCGGATTATTAGAAGACATTGTTGATTATTCAGTTCAAAGAGTAGTGGCAAACGATAACTTCCAACAATGTGTTGGAAAACTTCATACTTTTGAACATTTATATGTTTTGGTAATGTGTGCAATATTAGTGGGAAATGTTTCATTTTCAAGTTGTCGAATCAGGTAAAGAAAAAAAACACTTGTTCTCCATCAAGTTCGAGTACGGGGAATCGAACCCCGAGCTACCGCGTAGCTTTAGCAGTGATGCATGAAAGGCGGTAATGTTAGCCGTTACACCATACTCGACGTGCAGGATGCCATTTAGACGCCGGTCATATAGGTCATGTGCTTGCTTTGGGCATTGGCGCTCTTCACAATTTGCCAACAGGCGACTAGATGTAAGTTGTTCGAGCCCCCAGGAGGAAATTTGACATATATCATGCGAAAATCTACAAGCTGATATACAGTGGACATGGACATGAATTTTGATCAATGTAAGTGTCCGGCATCAATCGCAATTGCTTGCAGAGGCGAGGCCAAAGATAAGGCGCATTGTGAAATGTATGAAACCGGGCCACTCCGAGGTCGCAGTGATTACTGGGTCCACTTCTGACCAGGCTTGTCATCTTCATGAATCAAGGATTAGTGTTCGATCACGCCACCACCCAAAATCATAGGCCGTCGTCATGGAATTGTATCGTCAAGGCTCAAAGACGCGTGCAGTGAGCAGACTGAGCATCGTCCGAGTATCATGCGCCTTTGGGGAGCTTTATCTGGAAAGTACCTAATGTGCGGAGAGAGAGCTTGTCAGATGGAGAGTCGGATCTTGCGGAAAGAACAGACATTGAGGCATTGATGTTATTTCTGGAACGACGGTACCGTTGAACCCCAGCCGTGAAAGAGCACCTCGGATAATACCTGCTGGCATTGCCGCATACTAAAAATCATTAGAGATTCTACCGGATTGGACGAAGGTGTAGAAAATATACCAGTCGGGCACGCTTCATCGCGTCGGCGCGACTTTCCCATGACGAGAGTCGGGTAATAGGCTTGAATGCATTGTCCTGGAGGACGTATACACCCTGTACGATCGAGAATTTAGAGATGTTTAACAGTGCATGAGAGGAGACGTTGACACACCCTGTGGTTTGTCCGTAGGTTGTCCACTTGTTTGTCCCAGCAAGCGGCCCAGATGTCTTTACAGATGAATTTTATCGCGTCAAGGGTCTCCGCGAACATGGGTCTGTCGCGACATAACCTGAAGAAGCAAAACGATTGGACGTAATTCAAGCCAGGCAAAGATCAACGAACCGTTCTGAGAAGTTGGCGCCCACATGCATGCCAATCGACTCCAATCGTTGCCTGACCGGTTCCTCTTCATCATCGAATCCCGATTTGCTGCCTGCTGCGCTGCCAGTCCGCGACACGAGACTCGTCACCGAATCCCTCGCCGAGCTCTCCTTCTTCAGAGACAGAGGCACAGGTGGTGGTGGTGGAATCAACCCCGCTTCGAGCATCTGTTGTTCGACTTTCTTTGCCCGTGCTGTCGCGACTGCTGCCGAGTCTCTCAGAGTGGCTACGAGTTCAATGAGAAAGTAGTCCATTGCTGCGCCATCGATTTGGCGTATAGGGGGATCTGCGAGGGTTGCAAGGTTCGCGGTTGGGGGCTGTTGGATGGATGGTCTGGACGACATCGTGGTATGCGAGAAAGCGTGACTGCCATAGTAGATTGGAAATGACTCTTACTTGACTCTTACCACAACCACCAGGATCGCGTACACTAACATCAGTATTAACTCTTTAGAATTGTCCAAAGAGTCTGAAAGTCACCGTGTAGCATGCAAGAGTAACTAGAAGGCGCCAATATGTCAGCTCTATCCGCTTTCTTCCCGACTAGACGTCCAACGTCGTCCATGGCCCAAGAACGCACAGATCTGCTATCGGACCTGCGGTTCGCCCTCGAGATTATGCCTGGCTCCAGGAAATATGTGTTTACCCCAACAGCGAGAGCGGAGATATTGACCAAGTTATACGTATCCTTCATGGGCCAATATCCACATATGTTTCTTCCCAGTGGGGTCTCTCAGGTTCCACCTCATATGCTGCTAAGCGAGTACCAGGTGTCGGTGTCGTACTCGGGCGCAGGCAAAGAGGATCCACTCACTCCAGGGCGGCCGTGCAGCCACATCTTCAAAAAAGGGGAGAGCTGTTATAGATGCAAGTATGTAGTTTCTGCTATATTCATTGATATGGCAGGTGCTTATTTATGCACAGAGATTGCGCGTTGGATGACAGCTGCGTTCTTTGTACTAGGTGTTTTCATGCCACAGACCACGCGAGCCACAATGTCAGTTTCTTCATCGCCCAGCAATCAGGCGGGTGCTGCGATTGCGGTGACGAAGAAGCCTGGCGGCGCTCTATCCAGTGCCCGCATCACCCCCCAGCTGGACCGGGCGATCCGCAGGACACCACTCCCCGCCTCATCGTGAAGCCACTCACCAATGATCTACCCCCAGCACCGAACTACGCCTTCCGTGTGCCTGCTCCACCAGACTTGAAAGATTCCATGAGGCGGACGATCGGGTTCGCCCTGGATTTCATGCTTGACACTCTAGATTACTCCCCGGATGAGCCGTCTGTTCCCGCCAACGAAGCCGATCTCCGACTACAACCTTCTGCAGACCCAATGATGAAAGACCAATACTGCGTCGTGCTCTGGAATGACGATAAACACTCGCACGATGAAGTTGTGAGGCTGCTTTGCGACATGACTGGCAGGAGTGTCGAGGATGCACGCGTCGTGGAGAGACGGATGGAAGAGAACGGAAGGGAGGTGGTGGATATGAACTCGAATGTGGTTCGACTGCTAGAAATGGCACAAGCCATTGGGCAGATCGACCTGGGGGTGACTATTCGGAGGGCTTACGACACGTTTTGCGAGCAGGTGGTAGGGGTGATCATCGAGTGGCTACTGGATCTGACGAGGAGCAGGTTGGTGACAGATACGCTGGTGATTCGGGAGGCATTGGCAGCAGAATTACTTTCGCCGAGGAAGAGAGATTCGTTCACGAAACATTTGACGCCGCCAACGGCATTGAACTTGGATGGAGAGATCGTGAACCCGACGAGGGTCGACACACTTTTGCTGTACCACACGAGGCTATGGAAACGACCGAGATTGAGCTTGAAGGAGGTGTACGCGTCGGTGATCTCTGTTAACAGGGCGCACAAACTTGCCATCGGTTCGTGCATCCGTTCTCTCCCTAATTCTTTTCTTACCCATGTCTTCAGCGGGCCACTTTGCGAACATCTACCATCGCGTCATTGATGCGTACCTGCTCGTGGACCGTGAGGCGGAGACGTCCATCAAGTACTTTGCCCTCCAGCTCTTCACCGTTCCGTCCGTCTCGGGTCATATCGCCAGGAACCACAAGCTGGTGTCGCGGTTATTGGCCATCATCACTTCATTCTTCACCAATCGTATCGTCGATAAACGAATCATCTACTCCTCGACACCAAGCGCCTCCACCCCCACGGTACCAACCGCAGGATCTACCTCTTCGGCTGTAACACCCAACCCCACGCCAACGGGCCCCATCGACGTCGACTCTTTCCCATTCAAATCCAAGCGATTCATGCCCGTATTCAGCGACCTTCGCTATCTGGCACATACCTCCCAAGTGCAAGCCCTCATCGCATCCTCCCCAGTCTACCTAAACCAGTTCGCCACCACCTGCAGGCTCTTCATGTGCCTCAACCCTAACAAACGGGCGATCAAGACGCACGTGGAGTACGAGACCGATGCGTGGATCAGCGTGTTCAATGTGACGCTGAGCCTGTCGCGGGTCATCAAGGTGTACGGGGAGGCATTTGGTGGAAAAGGCAAGGGGGAGAGCGAAGGTTCGGCGGAATTGGTCGGCGCGATTGGGACGGTGGTACATCATATACTCATGGTATGCACACTGGCGGAGGATCGCCTCGATCGAACCAAGTTCCGAGCACCGGCGTTCCACCGGATCGATTTCGGTGGGCAGCAATATAACACTGTTGATTTCGATGTGGGGGAGGGATGGGTGAGCTTTCACCATGCGCTTCACTGGTTGTTGGCGGAGCTTTGTAAGCATGTGGGATTGTTGTCGGAGGAGAAGCTGAGAATGATTGGTGTGCCGGATGGATTGAGGGGGGTGTTCATGAAAGGTGCCAGCGAGCAAGCGATTCTGACGGTGATTGACTTTCCATTGAGAGGTGTGTCTATGCTTCTTTCTCTACCTCGACCAGGGATATATTGACAATTAACATATCCCAGTTCTGGCGATGATAGCTCAAATCCGCACGGGGCTCTGGGTACGCAACGGCTTCGCCATCCGCGGCCAACTCCTCCACTATCGAGACTACATGCTGCGAGAACTATGCTACGACCAGGATCTCTACCTACTCCAAACCGCGCTCGTCGTTCTCCCCCCAGACCTCGTCATCGTGTCCATCCTCGATCGCTTCGGTCTCCTAGCTTACTTCTCCGGCGACCTTATTTCCACCAGCTACGAAGGAGCTCAGCTAGGGAGCATGGTGGAAGAGGTCTTCTACGTCCTCACTACGATTCTCAACGAACCCGCAAACGCAGGAGGTATGTCCATGGACAAGGCCATCCGGCGCGAGATCGTGCACGCCCTCGCGATGGGGCCTTGCAGTTTTTCGGACCTGGTCAAGAGGGTGGCGGAGCGGTTGGTGGACGACGTGGCGTTCGAGGGATGTCTAAGGCAGGTCGCGATCTTCCGCGCGCCAGAGGGGCCGACGGAAACGGGCTTATACGAACTGAGAGACGAGGCGTACGAAGAGGTCGACCCGTTCTTCTACCACTACACGAGGAACAGGAGGGAAGAGGTGGACACGGTGTTGCGGAACAGGATCAAGAAGCGGACTGGGCAGAAAGAATGGGAAATTGTTCTCGAGCCCAAGGGTTTCGGGGTCACCGAGGGCCCGTTCAAGGACCTCCCGAATGTCTGGGAAAGGGAGGCATTGGTGCAGGTGGTCTTCTTCGCTGTGTGGAATGTGTTGGTTGTCACGGACGCGTCCTCTTCGCCTGCGGGTGGTGCAGGTTCTGCTCCTCCTTCTGCGGAAGCCATCCTTGACCAGGCGCTGCATTTAGTGATGTTGGGTCTCGTCGAGCGTCCTCGTGGTTTCAGTGTACTTGCTGCGCGGAAAAGGTGGACTGGCAATGGAGGAGAGAAGACGCTCGTTGAGGCTCTTTGGATCCTTGGCGAACATGAGAAGTATGTTAAGCTCTTTAAAGCACGCTCGGATTGGAT